ACTTTTCTGGATGAGTCTGGAAGAATGCATCTTGTTGTAGTTTCTTCATTAATCGCCGAAAGTGCTAGGATGAGTCTAAGGGTATTACGGCAACCTGTTCTTTTTTTCTACGTTCATTTGTTTGGATTTTTTTTTTTTGTTTCGTTGTAGTCTCTTCATTAATTGCCGAAAGTTGCTAGGATGAGTCTTTTGGGTGCACTTTTACCTTTGGATGAGTCTAAAGGTATTACGGCAACCTTTTTCTTTTTTCTACATTCGTTTGCGAAACTTTTCTGGATGAGTCTGGAAGAATGCATCTTGTTGTAGTTTCTTCATTAATTGCTAGGATGAGTCTTTTGTGTGCACTTTACCTTTGGATGGATGAGTCTATGGGGCAAAAAAAATAATTCATCAAGTGTTAGACCTGCAGACTGATTTTAGCGAAGCACTTTCTAACGTTACGCGGTATTCTGTATCATATCTTTTCTCTTGATGCGAACTATTAGCCTTGAAACGGAAGTTGAATGAGGGAGAAATGATCATAGATGCTGGCAATAATCCGTTTTATGTGTCTGAGCATGGAAAGAATCCGAAGGGAACGAGGAAGATGAGGTATAGTAGTAATGTTTTAAGGTATCAAAGTTCGGACTATTTATAGATAGTAAAGCTAACATAAAACTTATGTATGTTTTACTATATTTAGGAGAAAAAGGAAGTGAAAAATCCTTCAAGGACTATGACCCAGAAATTCTTCCTCGCAGTTGCCTTCTTCTGATGTAGGGCCAGAAACTGACGAAGAAATAAGTTTGATTTCGCAAGTGTTGAAATGGAGTTGCTGCGGGAACAATAAAATGAGGTATACTATATATAAAGACTCTGGTGTTCTTATTCTGCATATCTTAACAGTTTGCTTTCCGCTTTTAGTGGGACATTATTTTTTACTAATTCATGCAAAGAATATGATATTCAGTTGAATCGTGCGACAAGTGGTGCTGCAACAAGGCCGGGTTCTTCGTGCTTGGTTAACGGAATTTCTGTTCTGAATTCAGATATTAAGCCACCTGGATGTACACCTCCTCAACAACAAAAAGACAGATTGAAGGTACAATTGCGAGGGATAAATCCATCAATCAACTGTTAAGAACGAAAGGTGATCCAAAAGAAACGGTAATGTTAACAAATCAAGGTATGTATTTTGTGTAATATATAAAGTTTGATTTAACTTCAATTAATTAAGTATATTAAAACATGCCTGATACCTTCAGGAGATTTGATATTTCTTTGTTGGGATCAAACATTCGGCATTTTATGGCACTAGAGGCACATTTATACCATATATTTTATTTTTGATTTTGCAATGAAATAATCAATGATATATTTATTTATATTTTCTATTATTAGGGACGCATCAGTAAAATTGCCGAGAATAGTAATTATAATACTATCAAAGCGGCACAAGTACTCCGCCATTGCAAATACAACATATTCGGGACTTACCAAAAGTCCGCAAAGAAAAAAGTTACTTAGGTTAAATGTACAGATTAATTGGTTTATCTTAAAATATAATATTTACGCATAATCATGTAATAATCAAATAAATAGTAAATATTATAATACTTTGCATTATTTAAAACAAACCAGATTTTTATTATATTACATTGTAATTCATAGTTCCATGTTCAAGCGTTACATGTACTACTCCTAAAATAAAATAGTCTACAACATTTATGAAATATTTGTTTAATTCATAGATGGTAAATTTTTGATGATTGCGCAACCAATAATATTTTTTTCCGAACCAAAATCAACCAATCAGATTTTTTTCCACGTATGTAGATCGAAACGGTGAATTTTTGTTTGTATATCATAACGTAAAACGATCGTGGACCGATTTTTTCAGTAGCAATTATAGAAAAAGTTACCAACAAAAAAGTTTTTATATTTTGTGTAAAAAAAAAAAAACATTCATAAAATTTATTTTGCAGCATGCCATAACGTAATTAAAACATTTTATTATTTAAAAAATATTAGTCTCAATGGTTATCAGTGGTGTGAATAAATACGTTCTTCTGATTGGTTGTCCTTTCACATGACATAGTATTTATCCGATTTTATGTAATGCTTTTTAAAAATGTAACAGCCACTTAACGTTAACATTTTTACTTAAAATAATTTGCTATACCAGGAACGAGTGAAATTCATAGACAGAAGTTCGTCTGATTGACTAATTAATTCAATTTATTTTTACATTATTTATACAGTTTAGAGTACTTTTAAAAAAAACGAAAACCAACCACAATGATGTAAAAAATACTATATGAAAGATTTCATTAGAGCTGTAGGACCCCATAGTCAAAAAGAAGATCCAATTCTCGTTCGTTTAAAAAAATTAGCTTAGTAATAAGTTGAATTTATCGGGTTTTGAGAAGTTATGACTATACTAACTTTTTTAAATGGACGAGAATTAGATCTTATTTTTGGCTATGAAGTCCTACAGTTCTAACGAAACCTTCTATACAGCTTTTTTTATTTCACTATGATGAGTTTTTGTTTTTTTTTTAAAAAAAGTACTCTAACCTGTATAAATAAAATCGGGTTACGGTTCATAGGCAGAAGTTTGTCTGATTGGCTAATAAATTCAATTTAATTTTACATTATTTTATTTTTTTGTAAGTACTGGAAGTAAATAAATTCGAATTGTATGAGTAAAACCTGTTTCAAACTCTAACCTGGGTAATTGATTTACATTAACCAATCAGACGAACTTCTTGCCATTAGCCAACCAATGAGAGTGGAATAGTGTGCGCAAATACGTTCTTCTGATTGGCCATGTTTCCACACGATATTTTGTATGTAGATTTAGCATTTTTAATAGAATTAGCCCCCCAAAGTGCCAGTGACGTAAATGATCGACATAGCCGCAGCCGCAGCTAAATAATTTCGACCAATCAGGCGATGGACATTAGATGATTAGTTTTAGTGTAAGAGCCGAATTGCAATATTGAAGTTTTTAAATATATATGATTTTATAACCAGGATCTCAACTCAACGATTGAGTTGTTAACGAACCGAAAGTATTTTGGCACATTCATTGGAACAATTTTAGCTTTCAAACATTATAAATGTGAGTGTTGCTGAAATGTTCTAATGTAATTGCAAAAATGTAGTACTGTGAAAATTCGGGAGTGCTACTGAAGAGAATTAAGTTAAGTACTGCTAGGTTCGCTTTAATACAACTGTTTTATAATTAAAAAAACGATTTACTTCTTGCTTGTTTGTACTTTTGGTGAGATTTTTTAACTTTTTAACAGAAAATATTGGAGCAGATATTTCAAGAATATAAGGCGAAGGTTAGATAAATTGCCTCTAATCAAATGCCAATATTTTAATTTTAAAGTGAAAATTAAGAAATAATTCAGTATATTAATACAACCCATTCACTGATAAATTTATGATGATACTTGAATTTTATTATAGGTGATCTGATAAATCGCAATGTACACAATATAAGAAATATAACATTTTTTCAGTTTGGGATCAAACATGAATTCCGTAACAGCAACAGGAAAATGGAAAAGATGACCTAATACAGTCGACTCTTTCTGTAACGAGCTGATCGTTCTGAAAGAAAAATAGGTCTTTGTAATTATTATGTTTCTTTAAGAACCATGAAACTTTTTATACTGAAATTTTAAAATCTTGAGTTTATTATAATCAGAGTTCGTTATATCCAGAGTTGACTGTATTTCAATGCGATTAACTTATTGTAAGTATTTGGTTACTAAATACTTTTGGTAAGAGTTTTTATATATTGATATTGATCTAAAATTTTTATTTAATATTTTTAATTTATTAAATGCATTGTAATTATTCATTTAATAAAATGTATTGTTATTTTCTTTATTAAGTAAAATGTATTGTTTATTAATTCCTTGTTAAATAAAGTGTATTGTACATTATCTTTTACAAATACAAAAATAATAACTCATTATTACCATTGTCCTCTACCACTGTATTTATATAAATATAAATAGTCTTGAATATCAATTACCTGTACATTCAAGTTTATATACATTGAAATTCATGTTATGTTTAATTGTGATTTAAAAAGATAAAGATTTGCTTGCTAAAATAAGTAATAGGTATAAAAATTAATACTTTAAATTTAATATTTTAATGTATAACATTTTTATTTGCAATATTTATTGGTTTAGGGTAGAGTGTTCAAGAGACTGCAGTACATAAATTTGCTTACTCTAAAAAGATTTTCTTATATTGTATTTGATTTTAAAAAATAATTTAAGTCATGTTTTATCTTATGAAGACAATAAAAAAAGTATTTTTAAAGTGAGTAGATTTATGCATCACAGTCTTCTAAACACTCTAGTTTAAGGAGATTTTGATAATTCAAATATTAACTTGTATAAATAGCTTGTTTAATAATTAAACCATATTAATATAATTTGATTTAAATTTTTTTCTAATTTTTTGTTTCTTTAACTTGCTTATACAATTTATTCTTTATTTTCAAATCATTAAAAAATTGTACTAGCACATTATCTAATTCAAACAAACACATAAATTAATATATAAGTTATGTATTTAAACTTTACTAGAATCATAAAAAAAAAGATAGTAAATAAATATTTTGATACTTAAATTTTTGTTTATTAATTCAAATAAAAATTGTTAATGATTCTGTTCATTAATCTTGTTAATTATTTTTTTGTACTAAAAAAAAATAGTAATATTATAAATTATATGTGAATGTCTTAATTATCTTTAAAAAAAATAAATTTATCAAAAATTTCATATTATCATATTTTTAATATATGCAGTTTCAAAGTATTTCATCCTTTTTATCTTTTCTAGTAAGAAAATTATAAATATTATAGTTTATAATAATGATCTATCAATTAATATATATCATGCAATAAAAATAAATTGAAATTAATCCTAAGACTTAACTATTTTCTTCTAATCAATTTTGTTAATTTGCATCTTTTTTATAATTAAAAATATATAATCTTTGCATATATTTATTTACTTTGATTATTTATATAAATATTATTATATTTTATTATATATTTAAGTAATACTTATTAAATAACAAAAATCTTAAAAATTCTTAAAAAAAAATTAAAATTATATCTTAATTATATCCTAATTCATAAATTAATCTATATTCAGAATAAAGAGATATATTAAATATGATACTTATTATTCAAAGAAACTGTTTTATTAGACACAATATATGTCTCAAGTATAAAGAACAGTATGAAAAAAAAAATGAGACACAAATTGCTAACTCTTCCTGATAATCACTTGTACCAAAATTCTGCTAAAGAAAATTTTTATTTTCTTTAATAAACTATAACTAAATATTCCTAAAAACTA